AGGTAGGGCAGAAAATGACTTCTATACTTTTAAAATTTGCACAAAATTTAGGAGGTCTTTAGACCGAGCCAACTATAATATTATTTGGAATTTTGGTCCATAAAATAAATTATTTGTAAATCATTATAAATCAGTTCCTTATAATTAAAGTCGATTTTTCTAACTTGACCTTCTAAGAAGTTATAAATGGCTTTATAGAGAACACTTTGGCTCAACAGTTATTAGTGAGTTTGCCTTTTATGTATTCTAGTAGGCAATAATCTTAAAATAAGTGTGATAAAAAGAAATACTTACAACCTAGCATAGAATAACTAATATTTTGGCTTGACTCTTCTTTTAATTATTATGGTGAGTTCTAGGCTGGTTCTATTGCTTTTATTATTGTTGAAAAATTGGTTGCTGTATGAAAAATGGAGATTTTTTTTGAAGGTAATGACAAAAATTTTTTATATGCAATGGTAATAATGAATGACATTTGTGACTGTTATCTAAACTAGAATTCTTCATTTTTTTATTAAATTTATTAAGCAAATATTTTCACCAATTATAGATTAAATATTATATAAAAAACTTAATTTTGATTAGTAAGTCTCAGCAGGTAGTATTATACTAAATATTTCATTTTTCTATACATTTAATGTTCTAACATCACAAACAACATCTATCTTCTTTGTTTTGTATTATATTCACTTTATAAGAGTTCCATTCAGCAGGAAATACAGTAACAAGAAAAAAATTGAATATGATATCAATTCTTCAACTTTGTAGTTAGAGAAAATAAAAAGAGCAAGTAAAACTTACTTTTGATAATGGAAACTTTATTAGTGTGTAGAAATCCACATTGACCATTTAAGCATGAAGAATTGCAAATGTAGATATGGAAAGTCTTGAATATTCATCAGATGAATTTATCCAGAAATATCATTATCAATCAGGATGTCCACAAAGTACATCATTATCAATTGGAACAGTCTTGGAGGTAGCCATTCTTGATTAAGATTCTCTTATAAAAGTTTCAACATCCAAGAAATAGGGTATTTCAATGTAAGGTTGTGGGTGAAACCTCCTTAGTAATTGCTGAAACCACAGCAAAACTATATTAATTCTTATCAAAAATCCTGTTGAAACTATGCCAAAATGGTCAAACCTCAAAATGCGAAACTCTGTTGAAACTCTAATAAACAATTAATGTGTAACCTGTCAAAACCCTGCTGATTGATTTCTGGAGGAGTTTCAGCAAGCAACCTTATTTCGATGAGATATACACCTTCCTTTTTGCACAGATCCCACTTTTTTTGATCATGCCTCCTCTGCTCATCCAAATCTATTTGCCCCCTCTTATGAAACATTGGATTGAGAGCATAGTGTTGTTTGCCATTAAATTCAAATTCCAGTTGCAATTTCTCATTGTACCCATCAAGCTGTAACCCTTTTAAGAACTTAGGCCAGCAAGATGGAAATTCTTTCCCTAACAAATCTTTGAATATATATCAACAGGTTCTTTCAGGTGTATGAGAACAAAGGGGGCACCAGTCATATCTCTTTGTAATAATTTCAATTGATATTTTCCATAAATGATTCTTATGACATGAAAATAAGAAAGTCGTAGGACCAGTTTGAATGAGACATTTTCCTCCACATTTTTCTATGTAAATTTGAGCTTCTGCAAGATTTGACATGTTTGTACTCATTTCTAGGAAAAATCTGCAAAAAAAAATATAGCAGAGCTAGTATCAGAGACACATAGTCAGTATCAGAATTATGTATATACTATTTGATGAATCAAACCACTAAAAAAATCTTTAGATGATGTTGTACACATTTTAATGAGGCTGTGTAAGTGTTATTTTTAAAATTTGAAAAAAAATCACGTGTGCGTTATAATGTATATCATATCGACAAAGTTAAACTGTCTAAGGAATCTTTAGATGATGAAGACACTCCAAAGTGGCTATTCTATATTGTAGTATCAGGGAGATCGAACACTGGTAAGACCAATATGCTGTTAAATCTCTTTCCCGGGGATAAGTATTATGATATGAAAGAGGGAAAAAAGAAAATTGGTGAGCATTTTATAAGATGTAATGATATTGTATTAGTAGGACAATATATTAATGAGCCCAAATACCAATTAGTTCAAAACTTCTATAAGAAAATAACAGATCGTTCAAAACCATACTATGAGAATGTTACATTTACTGCAATCACTCCTGATAAAATTCCAGATCCAAAGCAGTTTAAAAATCCAAAAAGACATACAGTATTTATTTTTGAGGATGTGTGTACTGAACCCCAGTTAATTCAAGATCCTATCATCCCATTTTTTACTAGAGGTTGCCATAGCAATATTTTTGCCATTTATAATGCACATAAATTCACTCAACTCCCAAAAATCATTCATGAAAATACAACTCATCTTGTATTATTTAATGGCGGAGGATCCACAGAAGATATTGCACAAATTATAAGACAATACATAGAAGAAGATCCACATAAAGCTTCTAAAATCATCAATAATTATTTACAGAATGGCGAATTCATTGTCTTCGATACCACTGTGCCGATTTCTGATCCTATGTTAGGGATGTTAAATGGTTGAGTCGGTTTGGTTCAGTTTAAAAACCATGTTAGACCGGTTTGAATTGCGGTTTGTCGATCATATACTAAGATCTGATTGGCCAATTTTAATACCCGTTGTTGATCCACAGGAGAGAACGTACTGGGAACACAAAAATTAACAGGAGGGAATACAAAATTTTAACCCATGCAATTTGTTGATTG